CTCAGTTTTCGCGATGCTTTGAGCGCAAGCGGAAGTTGCATTATTTCCGATGGGATTTCATACTTAGCTGCTGTCCTCGCTCAAGTGACTTGGTGTAGGAAAAAGACTCACCAACAATGAACACAGTAGTTTTATCGCAAACAAGCAAGTGCAAAAAACAAGGGGAATTCCGATAGTTAAAGCGCACTTTTGGCCCTATATACAGGCTGTCCGATGGACGTTGACTGAACATTAATTAACGCCAACCACACCTCTATGACATGCTTAAACACCCATCGTTGTCAGCCATTGCTGAATTGATTGACAGCTTGAGTGTCCAATCGGCAGCTGGCTTTTATGACGCGGATGCTTGAGATCTTCCCTGCGATTTCGGTGGAGTTTGAGGGTCTCAGTAGGTTTTGGGCGTTCTGGGATCAAGTTCAGGCGTGTGACCTTTTTGAGAGTAGTGAAAAGACGAAGTCAACGCACGAATCTCAATGGTCGAAACCGCTTTTGCCAATTTGCAGTATCCAAAAAGGCACATCGATGAGTTTTGTAGGATGCGTATATCCCAATGCACTAGGCCATTTCGGAGGGAGGACCTGACGCATTTTCAGGTTTCTGACTACTGGTGTCCTAGAAGTGTAGCTGTAGCCGGCGAATTCCGAATGAGATGATCATGAAACGGATTTTTGGTGAAGCAGACGATAATTTACCCAAAGAATGTATCCAGCACTGCAGACGAAGGCAAATGAGTTATGCATACCTAGTTATCACCTGCCGACACGAGCGCTGTTTCCCGTGCTTGATTCAGAGTGGAGAAAATTTGACATGGCAACAGGGAATGAAAGATGTATGGGCTCTGTTTGTCCTCCAGGATGGCGTCCACGTGACCCACCCTATGCTTTTCCGGAGACAATGAACGATATAGCAGCCAACCGATGCCAGCGGCGTTCATGCTGCCAGTCTCTATCCAGGCTGCTGACGGAGTGTAGGCACCTCGGATGTTTTGTCTTAGACTAGCCCGAGCTCTCCTTTCCTGTCCCATTTTTATCTTTCCATTATAGGGTATCATTCTAATAAGCTGGCATGGTTTTACGGCAGTGAAGTACTATTGTTCTCTAATGTCACCATCAATGGGACGATAAGGTAAATAGGATGCGGTGATTCTTTTAGAACCTTCATCAAAATACCTCTAATTCTTTACCGAAATTTTTGCACCCCAGGAAGGTTAAATGCTTGAAAAATTAAAATTTCGGGGTTTACTAATATGAAACAAGTGGAAAGTCACGGTTTCAGCATCTAAACAGACGAGACTCTATGATATCAAGCGACCTTCTGTGCGGGAAAAGACTCGCCGTTCAGCAGTAAACTGTTACCACCAGCACCAGATAGCCATTGATGGTCAGCTGTTATTTTCCAGGATTCAGAGTTGGTTTGGTTGTCCAATTGTTTCTACTTGGCGGGCTTGCAAGGAGACCGCCTAACAAGACCGAACAAACAGCACCGACAGAGTATACGTTGCTCTGGGGTTGCTTACCACTGATTGGCCGAATGCGTGCAGTCTAGCATGTTCCCTGCTTACGCTGTACACTGAATATAGCTGCCAGTTTCGTTCACCGATGGTTTGGGGAGGTGAGGCAGATAGCTATGTATTGGAGGCGGTGGATTTTTTATTGGGGAGATTGGGAGGAGAGCTACGCCATGAAGGCAACAACTTGGATATATGGGCGCCATTGACCGGGCCGTCTGAAAATGTCCGTAACCATTGATGCGTCTCGTGTCGGGGTCTCCATCCAGGGGTGATTACATAGAATTTCCGGATGACCGCACACTCGTGTTTGGTCTAATGTCTGACGTAGTCTGGAGCGGGCGATATCATTCGTTCAGGGGGATGACCGTGACCCAGTTTAGCAGCCACACTCTGACCAACAGCCTTTCGTTCCAAACGATCCAGAAGTCACCTGGACATTTTGTTGGACAGTGAGTTGTTTCATCAAACAGATTGTAAACCCAATGGTTTTGAATGAACCACGATGAACAGGCCTCTGTGAACCAGGCCTGGTGAGCTTGCACAGCCGTAGATATCCATCAACCATTCCAGCTCATTAGTCGATGGTGCATCTTGGTTCACCTGCTGTGGGCATCACAGTTAGGAGTAGGGTTTAGCTCACCAGTGCAGCCGACCGAGCACTAGAATATACTTATCCATTAAACACCGTGAAGAAGTGTTTGCCGACAGCAGCTATATTTTACGGCGAAATGATAGTGATACTACCTCTGAAAATCCCCCAATTATCATAGTATCATTAGAAATGGTGTAACTACTGGGGTGCATAAAGTACTGCACAACCTTGAGCACGTAGCACATACAGAGATGGTAGGTCGTGGAACATGAATATACAAAGAACACGTAAAAAACTGAATGTTACATTATTGTTTAGAAATGTGCACTTTTACACATTTTAGCCCATAGGAATCACTTTTGCGTCTTCTCCTGATCGAGGACGTTTCCATCAATGCTACCTGAGTATGTGCACTTTTCTCATACCCGTGGTCACGAAACGAGAAACTGACCGCCTGCGTCGAACACGCACGCACAATGGGCTGACATCCGGTTGCTCTTCGTAACGAACCAAGCCGATGGACTCTCGCGAAAAATAGATGCTACATGCGGTTTTTGCCGGGCAGTGTGTGCAGCAAACCGAATAAACTTCATCCAGTGCAAACTCGAGGCTGCAGTTCTGTAACTAGAAGGATAAAAATCATGTGTTGACCACCAATCATTTGAAATCTTCGTTGTATGTGGAGGCCAACTCGGTGTTAGGCGACATTCCGCACCGATATCGCTCGCAGTTAGGCGATGCTACGGCCAAGAAACCTACCCCGCACGTGGTTGGCCAGAAGATCGAGCTGCTTGTTGGTCCAGCATCAAGGTGAGCTCTGACTGGTCGAAAGCTAATCATAGCCCAGTATCTGCCGAATACCGCGTCCAGAGGGCACTCGAATTTCCAGAACGTTGTCGCCGCATAAACTTTATATACAATGCGCTGTACATGTCTTTGACCTGGTTTTGGGCGTTGATACATGTTGCGCGCCTTTGGTGGCTGTTTTGACGGGAATGCTAGCCTGGAAGTTTCAGATGGAGATCTAAGCTGAGAAACACCCGGTGACCGAAGTACTCATAAGACGCATCCGAGGTATAAATATACACAGAGGAAAAACTCATGAACTCGATACATTCACCGATCCTACCTTCGTAATGAGTAATGCTCTTCAAGACAATAAGGCCTTGAACACGTACCAACCACGACCACATACAAGAGTTCACAACGAGAAATTTGACAGTGTGTACCTCCCTCGTTCATAATTAGCCGGTATTTCAACAAAAACATCTTCGGTATCTGAGAGACAGCGATACACAACTCAGTCTTCTCGCATGCCTGACCTCATTGATTAACGCACAGTCCCCCCAACTTATATCTCGTTTTGATTAACAAAAAACGGTATTTTGTGCGTAAAGAAAGTGATATTGATTGGTTGACTGACCAGTCAATCGATGAGAACAACTGGTAACTGGTTATCATTAGCGATGACTAGGCTTGGGGAAAGAAGATAGAGTAAAAACATTGCAAGTTACAGTGGTTAGAGAATTGAGGCGGACAACACAAACGGATAGATGTGTTGCTAGTAAAACTATTAGGCGGGGGGTTCTGGTTTTGGAGTAACCACCAGCTAAGAGTCGTAAGAGAAGACCAAATAAGCGTGGAATGCAGGATCACAGAGAACATAATACACGTTTTCTCTGGCTACCGCTTGCTTTATTTCCGGGTCGGCAATCATGCCGACAGGCGATGACGTTGTCGGTGTTGGAAGCGGCCGCATATTATGCGAGATACGTAGAAATTGTGAATAACTCATTAATTGACTTTGTGCTGCTTGCTTGTTGCTGGGAAACTGAGCAGGATGGTCGGTGGGCCACAGCAGAACGCATGAAGAGAAAGCGTGTGCTAACAACGAGTCTCATACAATCCACTCTTCCCAATGTACCGTACCCATTTGATGACATCATGGTCCGAATAGTTTAACTTGGGTTCGAAGACTTTGAGAAAGCGTACTTTGAATCCAGAAGGGGCAAACGGTACCTGACATTTGAAAGAGAGGGGATAGAACAAGTGATTAACCAAAATAGCTATGGGTAGAAAAGTCTGCTCCCACTTCTAAGCCAATAGGACAGAAGGAAATGCTCACAGGTTTTCAGAATGGAAACTTGTGAGTGGCATAAAACCAAAGCTTACTGGTTTAAAAACGAGTAAGCCCATCTTCGGGTAGTCAGGGTGCGACGAGGGGTGTGCATTTTATCGCATGTCAAAGGCTCCAGCTACCCTTGACCATCCAGTAGTTAGGTCAACCTGGTGTGTTCACTTAGATGCTTGAGGGCATCAGTGCGCCGACCGTAGCACAAACAGAATAAGATAATTTCGAAAAGTAATCCAAACTCACGGATAGTTGACCAACCGCTTTCAATTCTTCTATGGAGCGGAGAATCGACACTACTTCTGAGTGTCTATCCCCAAACAAGGTACTAATTACATCATTTATACCGAATTCGCTAGGGCAGTAGTGAAACCGCTAATCCGTTTGCCAAATGGTGATTGCGTAAATGACAATGGCATGATTTTCAAAACGGGTGGACGAAACACATGCTATTCGTTGAAACATTCCATGTTGACTGCAGTCTGCAAACGAGATAAAGAACATTCAACAACATTAACGACCCTAAATATGACCAGAAATACAGTGACGCGGTTTGGAGAACAAAATCAGTTTATGTACCTCAAAGTTCATAGATATCGGTGGCCTTGTCCAGCGTTTGTGTTTCTCCGAAGTCTGGAGTAGTTCGATTTGGGCGGCTAGTTTACAATCCTTCATTCCTGAGATTCTTCTGATTCTAAACAAAGAGAACATAATGGTTGTTTGGAGTTTGTTGAGTTTCGAAAGGGCGCATGTGTCTAGTTGTGCTACATAGGCTTTCGACAGGTGACCAAACTAGAGAAAAACTTGTCCACATTGATGAGACTTCCTTTCTTTTTGGCTAACATATCACAGTAGGCAAAGTTGAGTACACGTGATCCGCCTTGCACATGGCTGGAAACGCTAGAAGATATGGGACTTGAGCGACCCACCTGACGAGTATGTTGTCATATCTCAACCGGAATAGTTGGTTAACCCCAGGCTTGGGTTAGGTGGGGCTCACAAGAAGCACTGAATCGATCCCTGTGATGGCACATTACCTCAACAAAATGCAAAACTGTTTATTTCAACGTTGTCCGAGGGTGAGGAAATCTTCAACTCTCTCGACCATTTTCCTTAGAGGTACGACTTTTAATTTCTACTCAGGCACTCTTTCTTCATAAGCACCAGCATTTAACTGCTGTTCATTACGAAGACTGGTGACGATCACAATCATGATGATTGTGATGACATGGTGCAACTGCTAAGGTCTTTGCAGAATACGAATATCGGGAGACGGCTTGTGACAACCAACCAGCTTCGGAGCACGACAATGATGTAATTGGTGTTCTTTTCATGTCTTTCCCTGCGGTCCTGACAAGCACGGCCCCGACAAACAATCAGTCTAATGCATGACCAGTGGAGTAGACAGTGCGATGCAGAGCTGGTTACACACACTGTGTTAATACTTTTTTTACTACGTTGAGGCCTGTTATTATTGTGGGTCGACAAGCTCGCTACGGCCTACTCTCCCATTTGACCAGGCTGACGACTCACAGGATTCTAACCAAAAGAACAGTCTGAGGTCTAAAAGAGTTTAATAAGAAGGAGTTTTCGCGCTCGAGAGACGACTTCACAAATCCGGCCAACACAAATTCACCGATATTCATCTTTCCGAATGGAATGTATCGAGTTTTGGTTCACATACACAGTGGTGATCACAATCATGACATAACAATCCAACTGGTACGTCACGAAAGAATGCATAATAAAGCAAGTACGGCTAATGTGCACAAAAACTAACTTCCAGACGATCGCGTTCTCTGCAGCCTTGTACTTGGCCCGACCTTTCATGCAAATCACTTGCACACCACTCGTGTTTGTGGGGGTCGGAATGCGTACCTCGATCTTCTGTGCGAACAGGTTGGGTCGGAAGTTGGCTTTCACCACCACTTGCACATCCATGCTGGTTTTGCCCAGTTCACGAACCAAAGGGATTACGCGGAATGGAAGGCTGATTTCCTGCATTGAGAGAAACGTGAAAGGAGGGTTGTATGTGTCATTTGCCTGAAAAAGTCTAGACATATATGGGAACTAGTCAGTTTGTGGTAATCAGAGTCACCATCAATCAGAACCAACGGAAAAGCAAAAAAGGGAGGCTGGGGAAATGCAAGCAGCCATGGTTCATGGCAGATGGCTATGACATCGCGACTGCTGAAACCTAGATACAAACATCAAACTGTGTTTAGCAACAGCAGAAGTGAACTAACGGCGGAGCAAGAATGTCTATTCTCCAATCGAGAGAAAGTTCATAGTTATCGTATAGTTGCAGTTCAGTCGGACGGATACAAGGAATACTGCCAGTGAAGACGAGCATAAACAGAGACAATTAAAGCGACTGGCGTGGATTAGAACTTGGGGTCTTTCTGAACTTGCGCTTTACCGTGGGGATAGATGCTTCACTTAAAGCTGGTCATTGTACCGCTTTAGACTAAAAACGGCTCAGCTGTGGTACCCTTTCAGTGCCAGTTGCCATGAACTTGCGCTTTACCGTGGGGATAGATGCTTCACTTAAAGCTGGTCATTGTACCGCTTTAGACTAAAAACGGCTCAGCTGTGGTACCCTTTCAGTGCCTAGTTGCCATGCCACTCGAAAGAAGCACGAGGGCTGGGATACGTGTGATGTTGCCGAAGCCTATACAGGAGCAGTCGAGATGCCCGGGGGTGGGGTTTGAACCAAGAAACTTCCGGGTAGTAAGTTCCCGTCTTAAGAACTAGGCTATCTCACGGTGCATAAGTACTTATTTCAACTTCGTTCATGAACTGTGATAGTTTTTCCTTAGGTTTTGAAATTTTTTGCCGTCAAGTCTCAACCCTTCATCGCATGATATGGCCAAATGGCAGTTACGTAGCACTCCTTAGTATGTGGACGTCGACGAAGAGGTTTTGGTTGTGAAACTGAAGGAGACGAACTAGCACATATGAAGCCCAGTTTTTGCGTGTTTTGTACTAGTTGCATAGGTTCCGACTATAGTGTGACGGATGAAGGTAACGGACGCACTTGCTAATTTGAGACACCTATGGCGTCAAAGCGGCTTATTCCTTAGTCTCAAGGGACGGGTTATTTTATTCTATGGCTGTGAGATGAGGCCTCCGAGCAGCGAAACCTAGGTTTCCAACAACCGTTGTCCCAGAACCAAAGCCGGTGTAGGTTGTTGTCGGAGAATCCGTAACGAGGCACTTAGAAGACGGGTGTTAGGTTGTTCAACAAGGACTTCCATTGAAGCTTCCAGAAGCTGCGTTGGTTAGGTCATGTATTGCACATAGCCGAAGAGTATTGTTTTCCGTGGCCAATTTAGAGTGACTCAAACAGATGGGTTGTCAACCTTTGACATGGAGGAATATGGAAAAAACATTACAGAAAGTCTGGATACTGTCAGTGTGACTCGTCCTTCAGGATGGTGTCTGCATTATCCGCTGAGCGGCGAGATATGGTTGGTAATCTACGTCGGTGACGTTTTTGTTGTCAGTTTCTATCTGGTGTCCGAACGAGTATCTTGAAGTGTAGGCCTCTCGGGATGATCGTAGTAGACCAGCAGTGAGTCCCTACATCATCCACTTTTGTCCCTTCCTTCAAAAAATCAGGCTTGCAAATAAATTATGGTCTTACGGCAGCGAAGCGTCTGTGTTGAACTCAACGGCGATGATGAGGATGAGTTTTAAATTCATTGCAGTCAGTTGGCAGAAGCTACACGCATCGATTACTGCCAAGACATTCATGCGATGAGGCAGTGCGACACCTCTATGACCCTGTTAGATACATTGAGCGACAGGGGTCACTGGAATATACAAAGCGCCTTCCATAACAGATTGGTTACCAAGGCGAGGTACGATGAAAAGGGTCTCCTGATCCTGAATGTTGACTGTTGTGTGGTAGTATGCCGACACCCACTTTGTGCCTTGAGGTCAGGCTCTCGGAATGGGGTCTTTTTTGAGAGCTATCAGCATCAACCGTGGCAGAATTAGGTGCCATAGCAGTATCTAAGCTTGCGTATTACATGTAGGATAGTGGAGTGCCGATGTCAACAGTGAGTTGCTGATGACATCTTCAACAAAAACGAGAAGACCCCAAACTCACTCCAAGCTCAGATATCCCATAGCCAGGCAACAACTCCCACAGGATATTTGGGGTTTGTTCTATGCTAATGATGTGACTATGCTCAGCGGCCTCGTGAAGGACTTCAAAGTTTGATATTCAGTGGTATTGCAACAATTCTGTAGAGATATGAAGAACACGTCGGTGTGGATGGTTCGAATCGGTAATAAGGTTCATCGGAAAATGGGACACCGTGGGAAATAGAGCCAAGCACTAGAGGCGACGGCATGTTCAGTTAGTTTGACAGCTAGGCGGCGACGCATTGAAGACGGTAGCTTTGATGCATGAGCGTTATTGACTGCGCGATTGGGCATTTCTGCCAGTGTCATTAACCATTGGCGAATTGAGTACCGGAGTCCCTATCCAAGGACGCGGCAGTCGTCGATCCGACGGAGCTGAGCGGTTAATATTTTTATGCTTCATTTCCAGGTCATACATTGTCATCCCTCGGTCGCTTCCACTCAGAACGGGGTTGGGCAAAAAGACGAAGACGGCAATCTGGCATGCAGAATACATGCCTTAACCAGGGTAACCTATGGAGGGTGAGTAGCTAGCTCATCTATCGTGGAGCAGTTTTTTTTCTAAAACGACCCATTGTACCCCAGCATTATTAATCCAATGTCCCAAATCACCGGACCAATGCTTAGGAGACAGCGATATTCAAACACTGACATCTTTCATTCATCCTCTGCGGGCAGAGGCCACATTTCTCATGCATAAAGCAATATAGATCACATTGTTGCAGTGTAAAATCTGCCCTTGACAGACAAACGGACGTCACATCGGTACCATAGGTGTCAGAGGTTGCCAAAAGCTGCCATGGCCTTCCCGATTTGAGGAATAATCTCATATCTACCAAGTCAATCGGTTCGTCTGCAAGCATGATCCCACTCAGTCTTGTGGCAGCACTTTGAATGAATGAATCGTTCAAATGTTACGCCCTACCGGTGCCTAGCTGCCATGCCACCTGAAGGAAGGACGAGGGCTAGGATACTACCCAAATCTAGATGCCCGGGTCAAGATGCAGAGGTCGGGTTCGAGGCACTTACCTTCCGGTCAGTAAACTCGCACTCTAACCACTGAGCCATCAGCAGTTTACACTTAGCACGTGCGGAGCGCATGCCAAACTGCACGGCAGAATTCTGTGGTTTATTTATAATGGTTCGCTCCGAAGAGATGTTCGTTAGCGAGTTGACCTGTTTAAAAAGTAGTCTAACACACGTCGTTTGAGTATCAGCTGGTGCACAAGAGTATTCAAATTTTGTCGCAAGCTTGTCACTTATTCGAGTAAGCCTCGGTATGGCACCAGTCCAAACCTCCAATATTCGTGTAGGCGCTACATAGTTACACATAATATAAGTGGCGGGAAAGCAATAAGTTCACCTAACTGCACATACATCGCCCTGACAACTACAGCAATATCTGAGCTGTTGACAAACCGCAATAAGGGACTCAGTGTCGTTAAAACTACTTTTGACAGAAATAGAGATGTATTCCATTGCATTGTCAGTGGATACAAGAAACAGTGAGTATTTAGGAACGATTTACGGGATGCTGTCACAGAAGTTTCCAAGTGGATCGCACAGAGGCGGGCACCCTGTCAAGCAGATATCCTTCAGCTTCTGGACCACCAGAGGTGCGCAACCGAAAACTAGAGCCGATGGCGGCGCCAGTTAAAAAACCGTATTTGGGGCTTGGATCCTCCTTTAGGAGAAATAGCACGTACGAACAGACAACGAATAGAGGGTATAGGCAACAGCAATCTGTTCTTCAGTTTGTTTCGGAGTGCGGACGTAGGCTGGGATGCTGCCATGGCGCCCAGAGCCAGACAGGAGGACGATTAGGGTCAACAACCAAAGCCATTGGTTCAAAAGCCAAACCGCAAGGCAGCGGTGGTTGGCGTAAGACCATCAGAGCGGCCTACATTTTAAGAAGTAAGTCGCCACACATTTTCGGACCCCCAACCTAGAGGACCAGGGGACTGTGTTAGTCAGACCCATACCCAGTGAGAGCTTATGCAAATGTCACACGTGCACTCCGCAAGAGGGTTTTATGGAGTCCCTTGGGCTTTATTCATCTGCAAAATATCCAGCGCTAAGGCACGTTTGTTTGGAGAGGTCTGTCAAGGACATTGATCCATTTGCAGTGCTTCAAGTTCTCCTATCGCTGGCATTTTATCAGAATATTCCGTATTGTCATATACGGGTTCTGGGTATTGCCAACTGGAAAGTTTTCCTCTGATGTTGGGGAACTGTTGCAATTTTTTATGCCTAGCTGCCATGCCACCCAAAGGAAGGACTGGGATACTGCCAAGTTGCCCAAGCCTATATAGGGGAAGTCGAGAGGCAGAGGTCGGGTTCGGACCACTAACCTTCCGGTCGATCATCTCGCTTGGATGCACCAGTGCCACGAAGGGCGCGACTGGGTCAATATCTCTTATCATCGCTGTGTCCTGTCTCGAGGGTCCCATACGGGGAGACGGCAATAACCAGCAAAGCTGAGTTTGCTGGTAATGGCTATCATAACAATAATTCGTAAGAATCCAACAGTGTTCCCCCTTGAGGGACTTTTAGGTGTTCATTTTCGTAGCAAGAACCCATCATTCCTACTGTCAAAAAGTGGTCAGGATGCTGCGCATACGGCACTCTGCTGGAAAGCTGGGAATTCCGCAGAGGAAACCAAACACTGAAACTTACTTTCGTGGTACGGTAGCGCATCAATTCGAACTCTCCATCTGGTGGGATGAATGAGATTGTGTGCTCCGTATCAAACCGACCCAATTTGACGCATTGATGGAACTGACAGTCATCAATAGCGATACCACCGGTGCTCGTCACTGCGCTGATGAGGGCGAGGAGGATAAAGAAGGCAGTAGAGAGGATACTGGACGGAGGTCAACAAGAACAAGGTCTAGACTAGCCACACTATCTAGATGGTTGGAAAAATCACGAGCAGGTCTATAAGCATGCGGGCGGTGGGTTCATGCGTGTGGAGACGAATATGTGAAAACTAAATCTTACAGAACCCAAGAGGCGAGCGCAAAACTGCAGTTTCGTTGCTCGAGTATCACAAACCCATTTTGTTGTGAAAAAACGGCGGACGAAGATGCTATGGTCCAATACAATTATGTTCGACCAAGTAGTAAAGCTTTTCTGTATAAGTCAGAAACGCCAAGCGTTCATTCGAATGTGGTGAGGATTTGAGAATGGCAGTTTTTTCAAGATGAAGGATGACACCTCAGCATTTCTAATCTAATCCCGTATACCTCGCTGGCTGACCTATGAGAAACCCTCAGTCAATTCAGATCGACACAGTTGGTTTATAGTAGACCGGATACTACGGGTTGATGCAAATTTTGGCCCACTGTATCCCGACGAAAAGTGTACTGTTAATCTTACCAACATAACAGCGCGATCAGAACGAAGCTGCGTAGGATAAGAGAAACAATAATCAGTGGAGGATGCATCCTATAAGTAACTTAGTGCCAAATGCAATTCCGGCTGGTTTGTGCTCGGTTGAACTCGAAACAGTTTAGTACTTAAGGTGCGAACTTACTGACTTGAATCATCATCATCACCATCGATAGCATGACATCAGTGTTCAACACCGATGCTTCACTGCCGTAAGTGTATATGGCGGGGGACGAATCAACGGTTTTCCTTATTTTTAGGTTTTCTCAATTCTTCGTCTGCATGACCGAGCTAGGAAGGATGGAGATTCACCCTGATACTACTCCCGCTCCCCGTGGAGTGAATTCGAATAGGCTGGCTTCGTTACGTTGGGTGCATCCTAATAAACAGATCTTCAAAACAGAAGAACTGCGGAAGTAAGTGCCTAACCTCAAAAAGGTGAACTTATAACCACCCTGGCTGGGAAGACCTCACATGTTTTTTTGCGGTTGGTAAACAAAGGTAAATTCAAACGTGGCCAAAGAAACGAACCCTGATGTGACCACTCAGCAACAACGTTCTGAGACAAGGGTCAAGGAATGTGCTGTCGGACACGAGCATATGAAAGCTTATAAGTCAGGATGAACCACGAGGGGCATTAGGTGAATACAATTCGCCAATCCGCCCTCTTTAGTACTTAGGCCTGATAAGGCAGCCTTTATTATCTCTTATCCAGTTCAGTTTGTGCAAGTAATTCCTATGGACAGGTTATCGATAATCCTAGAAATTCCAGAATGACTCTGAATACGAGGTTACCATTCTTGGAAGGTTTTAAGTGCCCATATGCGGACGCTTTTGCAATCGTTTGATCATCGACTTGTTGAAAGTAGGTTCATTTCAGTTAATCAACCTGAAACGAGGCACCAAGAGTACGCTGGTTCCAGATGCTACAATTCCCACTCATCATCATCATCAGCTGTCAAGACCGCGTACTTATTGTAGTGGTTCTAGCTGCCAGTTCCCTTGACAAATTACTTGGGGAGGTGGGGGTGGATAACTGCGCATCGGACGTGGTAGATGATATAATTAATGTCAGTGGACTTTAATTGAGGAGATTGGGAGGGGTGCACGAGCGTCACTGAGGGCGCGACTGAGCCATGTTTAATGTCTTTATCCATTGATGTGCATCGCCTCGAGGTCCCCATCCAGGTAAACGACAATGACAAGCGTAGATGGGTTTGTTGGTAATGGCTTTCACACTTCGCTGCCAAGTCATTATTTGACCTCCCTTGGCTCGTTTTTAACCTTTGCGTGATTGTGCGGAAACAGCCCTTCGAGGAAGTCGGTCGACTTGTATACGGAGCACGTGACCAAGCCACCTCACCCTATGGAGTGTGGTTAGTCAGAGGCGAATGATTTCGTCCGAAAACAATTAGACGTACTTTAGCGTTATTGACCCGGTGTTCCCATCAGACTCGGTCAATGTTCCGAAGACATTGATGGTCGAACACTGAAATTCTTTATACGTCCCCCGCCCGCAGCGGCCAGGTTTCTCACCCGCATAATATGGAGCGCATCGCAGGATTATAAACTCGGCCCTTGTAAAATAAGTCTATGTCACGCCTACGCCACAGGTGATGCAGATTCACGAAAGATGCTTTGGCTTTCTCAATCCGGATGGAAATATAACCTTTGGCTAGATCGAAATTGTCAAACTAGGGAAGGCATAGCCAAGTATTGAAGGTAATGACAAAGTTGACGCTGAATCAGTCCGATGAAGTGGAAACCTAGGCAGCTGCTCAATGAAGGCGATAGTTTTGATGCAGGAGGACCACTGGATGCCTGCCAGTGTCACTGGTCACCAAGGAGTTGAATGCTGGTGTCCCCATCCAAAGAGGCTGTAGATATCAAGCCTACTGAATTCTTACTCAGTTACCCCGAGACATGACATCAATTGCTAGAGACCTCGCCAGATATGGCCAATTGACGCGCTCAATGGCGTGCACGCACTCAAGCTATTACTTCCGATGCATAGCTTATCGTTCCGGATGTCCCAAAAAAAGTTTGTTACTCTTGGATTCACGCATCGACTCCTATTTTCCAAGATCATCGGTGAACGAAACTATGGCAGCTATATTATTGTACAACATGCTGACGAATTGTTGATCTTGTTTGAACCAGACAACCATATAGTATAAAGCGGGCCGGGAATTAGGGCAACTTTCACATCGTAGGTACCATGTGCCAATGCATTAAGATCATCAGACACTCAGGAAGCGAAGTGGGAGAAGCAAGGATTCGTCTTGAGCGGTTAGATGGGTACGATTGAACTGGAGTCTGGTAGGCGGGTTTCGAGGACACATGTATCAACCGAAGGGGGAGACGAGATCTAAGCACGGGATGCTTGCTGACCAAGTTGATTCAGGTTACGGACAAAGCGCAATAGAGAGATACCTCGACTTTAGTAAGGGGTTATTTTGGTTTATATTAACAGGCGGAAGCTTGGAAGCGGAACGCTGGTCAGGGGATTAACAGGAGTGGAAGCAGTAAACCATTCGAAGGAAGAAGAGGGGTTGTAGAAGGGCTGCGAGGGTGAACGCAATTTCCCGGGAGCCAAGGTCTAGGATGGAGTATTCAAGATGCCCTACTGTAAGCTGTCAAGTGAGAAGTCTGACCAACAAGGCAATTGGAGAATGTAGGGCCTTGTTCCAGTGACCTGGCCGTAGCCAGTGACTTAAAACTCTAACCTACAAGGCAGACGGAGGTGTGGGTCTTATTGTGAGACCCTGTCGGGAGCCATAATGACTCAATAGTCCAACCTGCTTGGCTGCAGATAACCGGCCTAGTTAGAGGGCGGAGGGACTAAGACATAGATTTCTCATACATGATGCTACTGCGCACAACAGACGCATATGAAGTCGAATTGGGAGCTTGGTAAGTTTTATTAGTATTTCGACCGTAGCGGAAAATTCCCTGGTGGTCATGCTCAACCGCTAGGCGATCGGTGTGTGCGGTTTTTAGAGTCTAACTTTTCTAACCCGACCGCCCTCGGTCAAAGGTAGTATCGTTGCCTCCATAAACATGGAGGAAACATTTTGCTGCCTTCAAACATCTATCAAAGAGGACAGTACGACTTTACTCCCAGTCCGACTGGTAATATGATTACTCCTAGTATGGGAGCTGCTACTCTCTAAACATCTTCGAGCGGCCAAACCATGCGAAACTCAGTTTCAATCTGTATAGCCCACGGGTCATGCGTTCGGGCCCGGTCAACGTGCCAAGGTGGTAGCTTTCAGTAGAGGCTGAAATTGGTTGCGGGTGCTTGAAGTAACACATCCACAGAAGAGTTCAAGTGTAGGAAAGTGTGAGGTTATCAACTAAACCCAACATGCAACAAATACCATCGTTGATCAACGATTAGGCCGTGTGTCATCACGTCCAGATGCAACACCCTTTCGATACCAAAAATACTATGCCATCCTCAAGAAGCACAACAGCTGGGATATTGCCAGACTGCCCAAGCCTAGATAGGAGAAATCGAGATGCGGAGATCGAGTTCGAAACACAGACCTTCCGATCAGTTAATTTGCACTCCAACCACTGAGCCACCTTGACCCAATTAGGGCCACCACGAAAATACAATTAAAATATAAATGTTATGAACCTCAAGACCTACTTGTCTTCACCCCCAGCTGTGGTGCGCTGTTTGTTCTCCAAACTCAGCCTGTCGTTAAAGCCAAATTTGCACTCCGGCATGCCACTGAGGTAGGATTTCATTATCACTCGCCCGGCAACATGTGCAGACAGCACTTGACCTGAACAAAAGTGGAGATCGGTTCGTAGCGAATTACGAAATACACTGTGACAGACAAAAATATGGAATACGTTTGAGGGCAAACGCAAAAGTTGACTATTTTACTATCCGACCAGACCGATACACTATAAGTTCCTCGCAAAATAAAGCGAAACTTCATTTCAAGGACCATTGAAAGAGACGGTCAAAACCGGTTAACCTAGTGGATGCTGGATCCCTACCTTTGTCTCCGGAGTTGTGGATGTCATAACAGAAGAATAATACCCAGTCCGTAACTTAAGAGAGAAAAGAGTCGGCTGGTGATGCAAGAGAAAACAGACTACCTGATGCCAACGGAATAGCGGGAATTTAATCCGTAACTTGGATATTCGACAGCACAAGTCAAGCCAGTCACTAGAGGCCTTTCTTCACTGTATTTGATGATAGAAAACCTGTTTACGTTATATGGCACTTTTCACCTTCCAGAATGAAGATAAGGTACCAACCGGATCGGTCACGACTTGCCCTCCTAAGATACTGAGTTCCTGGTTGTTCCGCTGCATTGGAACCTACCCAAAAGTTAGACTGACATGGCTCGTCGACCGTATTCTCTACATTTTCAAACATGCAACTTTTGTCAGTCTATGGGGCACAAGAGTCACCATCATCATCATAAATGACACCAACATCAGTGTTGTCACTGATGCTTCACTGCCGTACAACCATAAAGTTCGTTTAGTTATATATATATACATATATATATATATATATATGTATATATATATAACTAAACGAACTTTATGGTTGTACGGCAGTGAAGCATCAGTGACAACACTGATGTTGGTGTCATTTATGATGATGATGGTGACTCTTGTGCCCCATAGACTGACAAAAGTTGCATGTTTGAAAATGTAGAGAATACGGTCGACGAGCCATGTCAGTCTAACTTTTGGGTAGGTTCCAATGCAGCGGAACAACCAGGAACTCAGTATCTTAGGAGGGCAAGTCGTGACCGATCCGGTTGGTACCTTATCTTCATTCTGGAAGGTGAAAAGTGCCATATAACGTAAACAGGTTTTCTATCATCAAATACAGTGAAGAAAAGCCTCTAGTGACTGGCTTGACCTGTGCTTTCGAATATCCAAGTTACGGCTTAAATTCCCTCTATTCCGTTGG